TGCCAGATCCAGAGTGGGACATATCGATCAAGTCCCCGAGAGTCTTTTCTGTGTGCCTAACTGACTGTCTCTGCTTCTCCAGGTCAGCCACCTTGGCCTCAAGGGAGCAAACACGTTCCCTGAGAACCAGGAGCTCCTTGCACCGAGCACACACCCAAGACTTCTGTCCAGTGGGCAGATAGTCATACATGTGACACTCCATGCAAAACACTGGATAGCCCCCAACCCCCTGCTGGCATTCTGTCTTCATAATTTTTTTAAAATAAGTAATTATAACCCCCCTTTTAAAACCCTTTGTATTTATTTGGTTTTTCTTGTCAAAGTCAACTTACCTTACGGGGAAGACAAAGAGCCTAGGGCCTTGGCTTTCTGGCTCTTCTTGGACTTCTCATGCCTCTGGCAAGGTGCTTTCTTAAATACTGAATTACAGTCAATCACAGTCCAACAATGCCCCTTCCTCTCCCTCTCTCAAGCATCCAGGACTCTGCAACAACTCTAATCACATTCACACACTCCCAAACACAGGCCTCCCACACAATATCCTCAGCTGAATCCCATCAGCTGAAAGCAAGTAAAAAAAACCACTCACCCCTCTAGCAGCTCTGTCTCCTGCTCCTGCTCAGAGCACAAAATGTTAGCACCTTTCAGAAACAGCTGCCTTTATCATAGGTGAATGCTTGGCTTGCAACCTGCTAACATTTTGTGATTGTCTCCTGTATTCTATGGCAGCCATTTTGTGATTGTGCCCCCTCCTTGTTCTCAGACTTATAAAAGTGCCCATAAGCCCAACATGATGGAGGACCCCTGCTAGGGCTTTCGACAGTACAATTCCATTATTCCACATCATACCCTAGTGGAATAACTACATTGTTTTCAATGAATTTTTTTTATCATAATGCTTGAATGCTAGTGGAAAGATTGTCTTTGATAGCAGTGCACCACTTTTTCTAGTGGGAGGGTGCTTTTCGATTCAGCTCAGTGTACACAGAAATGTACTATACTTGTATCTTAAGCTGTTATCACCTTAAACTTGACAGTTGTGCTTTATAAAAGATGTCTATGTTAATCACTGTTTAGTTTCTATGGCTAATAAGTTTCTAACAACTATACATATAATCTAATGCATGGCTGTCAAACATACACCCTGCGGGCCGGATCTGCCCCCTGCAGGGCTTCTATCCGACCTATGAGCAACTGGCTCTCTGCTGCTTCATATTCCTGCTTCCTGTTCCCTGCATCACAGCTTCTTTTGCCCAGTCTCTCTCATTTCTTGCTTTGCAGAGGAGAGAAAGAAAGCCAAGCCTCCCTTCCCTTGATTGGCTGAGCCCCCCCCC